TATATCTTTGTATGTATGTAGCATTTTTATGACGTGTTGCTCAAAATATTTATATCGTGTATATATAGTGTGAAATTTTTGGTCTTATGCAAATAATAAAAATACCAACGCCCCCCATGTCTGTATGTTCGGGGCACTGACTGTAAAGTGGCACACATTGAAATTAACAACATTTAAATGTGTTTAACTCAAAATAGTTGTTTGATTATTTTTTAAAAGGATTTTCCACCAGATTTACAGCAATATGTGTCAACTATGTCATATTTATGTTTCTTGTAAAAAAAAAAAAAAATTGTAAAAACCACCCTAACCCTAAGTGTATTCTCTGAGGGGCATCAGAATCCTGCAGCTCTGGTTCGTTGCTTCAGTGACAGAGACAGAAAAGTGCACTAATTATACTACGAACACAAACGGTAGGTGTGGCGATAAACTCCATGCTGTAAAGGCTCACAGCAAGAAAATATGTAGAACAGAAAAATCAAAAATCTCTGCTTAAAAATGACACCGACAATCAGTGAAGGAAAATTAGATTTTATTACATATAATAAAATATATTCTGAAAACATCTGTGCAGTGGTGGAGGAAGTACTCAGATCTGTTACTGCAGTGAAAGTACTAATACCACAGAGCAGAAATACTCTTTTACATCCTGCGTTTAAAATATTATTAAAGCAGAAGAACAAAAGTATTCAAATATACACCAGTAAAAGTGTTTATTATGCAGAATAATATACACTGTATTGGATTATAGTTATTGATGCATTCATGTGTTCATCACTTTAAGGGTGAACAGGGTAAAATTCCCTTATAGGGACGTCACGATGATGATGATGAAAGAGTTTTAGTCCGATTAGCTGCAGCTACAGAGTTCTTGTCATCAAGTAATGAGAATATTTCCAGTTGCTGGCGTAAAAACTGTTTCCATCTAGCGTGCTGCTTTATGACGTGCGCTGATGTCATTGTTGTATTTCAAGTCAGCAGTGACGTGAAAACAAAAGTAACAAAAAGTTCTTTGATTTTTGGGGTAACTGTTATATTACTGAACTTTCATTAGTAATTAGTTACACTACACTGGAAAAAGTAATATTATTACTGTGACACGTTACAGCACTGGTAGTTAGTAATCAGCCATCGTGTATTTAGGGCCCAGTGTTTCAGATCATCATTGTTGTCTCGGTGTGTTCACGCTGTCCAGCCTTGTCCTCGTGTTTGATTCCCTGCTGTTTGACTTGGATTGATGGACTTTGACTTTTGTGTGATTTCCCTGAACTGAGTTTTCTATCATCACACGTTTGACCCCTGACCTCCTCAGTAAAGATTTGGATTTGATAAACTGCCCTTGGTGTTTTGTGTTGTCCTCCAAAACTGAGTCCCAGTTTTGTACTAAATCATTACAACACAGGAAGTGTCTACGCTCAGCAGTCAGACAGGAGTCAGGTTAATTTCCAGGGCTGGTACCTGCGGTTATTCCACAGGCTAGTTAATAACATGTCGGGCAGGAAATCCAAAGTGTGGGATCATTTTGAGAAGGTGAAGAACGAACCCAAGGTGATATGTAAACTCATCTTCATTGGTCGACTACAAACATGACGTATCATTTGAAACATGGAAGTAGCTACATGCCCATTAGCCCACAGCGTCATTAACAGGCGGCTCGCTCAGTGTGTGACGTGCACTTGGAGATAAAATATAGGCCTATATTAATGAAGGTTCATTAGTACGGTTTGTATTTCTCTGTAATGTAGCACAGTGGGGGGTGCAGGCCTGGTTTCAACCACATTTCAGCGCTGACGGTCGATTGTGTGCCCGCTGGGTCTGTTTTGACCTGTCGTGTCTTGACTCACAGCAGGTAAAGGTGGAGCTCGTTTTAATGACTTATACATTTAATCTATACCGACACATCATCAATAACTATTGATTCATAATCTGATTCTGTAACTAAAGCTTAACGTGACGCAGCATGAGATGAAAAAAATAGCTCAGAATCGTGTTGAAGAACAAAACCTGAGTAAATGTACTTTGTTACTTTGACAACCTCTGTTTGATTTTAATGAAGTGCGAGGGCATCAATCAGCCCAGCTGCAGAGTGAAACACTGCTGCTGGGCTGATGATGATGATGATGATAGTGATGATGATGATGATGATGGTGATGGTGATGTTGATGATGATGATGATGATGATGATGGTGATGATGATGGTAATGATGATGATGATGATGATGATGGTAATGATGATGGTGATGATGATGGTAATGATGATGATGATGATGATGATGATGGTGATGATGATGATGATGATGGTGATGATGATGAGGCGTGACACTTTTCCATTGTCACAGTATGAAAGGAATGAGAGCTTTCCTGGAGCGAGGGTAGTCCTCAAACTTCTGCTGGTAGTCTCTGTGACACAAACACAGACTGTGACAAAAAAATCCTCCTAAAATAAGACGAGTGACGTCACACACAATATTTCACACACTTTCTTTCTTTACACAACTCAACACACAATCATTAAAACAAAGTGACACATATTTTAATTAATGTTTCAGACACCTGACTGAACCTGATAATAACTCCACCACTGTGACACTGACGTTATTCTGATCAGCACATTTCAAAGTGTGTTTTTGTTTAGTAACGACTGCTCAATTATTTTCTACTACTACTGCTACTACTACTGCTACTACTACTACTGCTGCTACTGCTACTACTGCTACTGCTACTACTACTACTACTACTGCTACTACTACTGCTACTACTACTGCTGCTACTGCTACTACTACTACTACTACTACTGCTACTACTACTGCTACTACTGCTACTACTACTACTACTACTACTACTACTACTGCTGCTACTGCTGCTCGGCCACGTCTGACCACTAAAGCTGATATAAATATATAAATAAATAAATATCAGATATCGTTTAAATTCAGTGTCACTGTCAGTGAAGCTTCAGTCAGAACTTCATTGATAAACCACAGTATACAGCTTCCTGTGGTGCTGTAAATAAACCCCGGGACACAGGTACCTGTGATGGTGGTAGGCTCTGGGTCCGATGGAGGACACAGTGAAGAAGGCAAAGGCGAAGGTGGGTAAAGACCAGGTGGCCACAGCATACCCACACCACTCCACGATCTCCCCGAAGAAGTTTGCGCCTGACACAAACTCAAACATTCCCCCTGAGAGAAAGGTTAAGGTGTTAACAGGAAGCTGCTAAAGCTCATGAACCCAAAGAGCTCGGTGTGGATGTGTGGTACCGTGCGGGATCCTGTAGACGGTCTCCCCGGGTCGTCTCAGGCCACACAGGATGTGGTCGCTGTGGATGTTGATGATCATACCGACCACAAACAACAGGAGACCTTCATCATAAACAAACATTCACAACAACATGACATCATTCAGAACAGAATAACCATTGGGTTAAATGTTTTCTTATTGTTGTTATGAGATGTTTGTTCTGACATGTTGGGGGGACGTCACTCTGCAGGTCTGACATGTTTACACATGGTGCCACAGATAGACTCTGTAAACACTGACTGTCCAACCAGTCCAGGACATGAGAGATGGAGACAAATAAAAACATGACGTCTGTGAAGTTCAACCAGCAGCTCTGAAGTCACCGTCCACGTGCACGTGAGGCTTGAACATGAACCGTAAACCCTAATGACACTTATTCATGTCAGGTCATTCTGCTGGAAAACATGGGACACTAACCAGAGACGGATTCATGTACATATGTTTGTTTTTGTTCTGGGACTGAAAGGGTTAACATGTCACTGACATGTGACGGCAACTGTTGAATTCCTCCGCAGCAGAAAGCCGAGGGCCGCACCATTCAGCCCAGAGCTGAAGACGTCCTCACACAGCTGTGGACAAGAGGGACGAGAGGGACAAGAGAGACAAGAGGACGAGAGGACGAGAGGGATGGAGGATGAGAAGACGTGAGGGATGGAGGACGAGAGGGACGGAGGACAAGAAGGACGAGAGAACGAGAGGGACGGAGGACAAGAAGGACGAGAGGGACGGAGGACGAGAGGATGAGAGGGACGAGCAAGACGGAGGACGAGAGGGACGGAGAACGAAAGGGGCAAGAGAGACGAGAGGGACGAGATTGACGTCCTTCGGGGATTCTCTCGTAAGTCGGCCCGTTCTTCACCGTCCCCGTCATCTGACGGTTAATGGCCTCTTCATTTGCGAGGACAAGGAGGGCGCACAATTCCTTGTCTCCCCAGTTGCTCATCTTTACAGTGTCTGTCAGGTTTGTGTTTCCCTCTTGCTACTAGCTGCTCGCTAATTCCTGCTATGAGCCGTCGCAGAGCGCCGTCTTCTGATAATAATGTTACACGCTGCCGATCTGTAATCTCACTCTTATCTACGTTTATGAACTGATAGCTAACGGTAACGTGAAAATGATTCGCTGCTTAAGCTGAATGTTACGTGACTTTCAGTTTCAGTCATAATGAAATATTAACCTTATGTTGTTTAACTTTGTGTCACTGGTGAACTTTGATCAGAAAACCGCTTTAAAAAGTTTGATGACTTTGTCACAAAATAAGGTTTAAATCAACGTTTTGACTCGCAGGCTGTCACAACGCCAACTTAGTTTACAGCAGTGTGCTGCCGAGCGGTCCCATCAATACAGCAACACGATTGGCTGATACCTCTGTGTGTACCGCTTTACTTAAAGCACCCAATAGGCTTTTAGGGGGAAAGGAGCGATGGAGGTGGGGTCTGAGGCTGGAGGTCTGCAGCCAGACCTTTCTCTGGTCATCTCCCAGTCTACAGTCAGACTGTCTGCTGGACATGAAACTGAAGCTGTGTTAACCTTTAAAGACTACAGCTCCGAGGGTGCATTTCACCAACAAACAACCAATCACAGGACTTCAAATTCTGTCGTCTCATCTTAAACTTTAGCCACTTGAGTGGCAGCGACTGCTGAGGCTCATTAGGGTTCATTTTGTCAGCGATGTCTTTGTTTTGTCAAATCTGTTTGTTGGTTTTTATCCTGATTATTTGTTTTAATTAACTGAGTCAAAGAAAATATTTTACTCTGAGACACTGGTCTTTTTACAGTTTTTCTCGATTGCTAAGATACATTTCTGGAAAGCTGCTCTCCTTTTCTCTAAACTGTGAACACAAAACCCAATTTTCAAGCTACATTCACAAAACCTCAGACTCTTCTTGCAAAACCAAACTTTCACCTCAAAACAGTTCAATCTGTGCTCAAAACTGAACTATGTTGTCAAATCGTGCCCCGAGTCAATCAAAATTAAAAACACTACTGAGCAGTCACTAAACACTAGAAAACACACAGAACAGAAAACAGAAAACACATAGAAAAATAGAAAACACAATGCTCAGGACATTAAGCTGTAGAAATAAATGTTTATTGTTCACTGTAGGCTAAATGCATGTTGCAAAACAAAAAACCTGTGCATTTAGCACTTCTATACAGTAAGCCTACGTAAAAATAAAGTACAAAAATATACAAATGAGAAGTGCATTACTCAGCCACAGCATCATTTCTCCGCACTGGGTCAGGCCACAGGACTTCATCCACATCACAGGCCACATTTTGTCTGGCCAGGCAACGGGGGAAAAAACCCTGGCATGCCGTATCCAGGCTTGGCATGCCTCCACACCTATGTCACCACAGGCTAGTTCCATGGCTTGCAGGAGATTTACCCTGGTGTAAGGTTGGCGTTCATATACCTTCCACCGCCATGAGGAGAAGAATTCTTCAATGAGGTTCAGGAAAGGGGAGTACGGTGGAAGGCAAAGATTGATAAAACCTTGGTTCATATTGAACCACTCTCTAACCTGGAGGGCTCTGTGAAAACTCACATTGTCCCAAACAACAACATAGATGGATGCTCCTAACCAGTGCTCTCTGAACTGGCTTATATATGTTCCCTCGCATCATTAGCCACAAGTGTGATCAATTTTGAGTTGTTGTGTTCAACCGGTGACACCTGTGCTTTAATTGTGTTTGACTTTTGCCACCTGTGCTCACCATTATGCAACACAGGTGCATCACAATGAAAATGTGTTGGCAAGTTGTGTCTAAACAGGTGAAAAGTGCTTATGGTTTTGCCAAAAGAGTGACTGATTCAATCAGTGGGTTCAGGCAACTGAGCATTTGGTTCAGACAACAGGGTTTAGTGTTTTAGCAATTGAGAAAAACTGTAATCTTCAGATCATATTAAACATTTCAGTTAATGTATTCAAGTCAAACTGACTGTTGATTTAGTCAAACTTTATCTGACTAAAGATTTGACCTTCTCATCATCTCAATCAATCAATTTTATTTATAAAGCCCAATATCACAAATCACAATTTGCCTCACAGGGCTTTACAGCATACGACATCCCTCTGTCCTTATGACCCTCACAGCTGATCAGGAAAAACTCCCCAAAAAACCTTTAACGGGGGAAAAACGGTAGAAACCTCAGGAAGAGCAACTGAGGAGGGATCCCTCTTCCAGGACGGACAGACGTGCAATAGATGTCGTACAGAACAGATCAGCATAATAAATTAACAGTAATCCGCATGACACAATGAGACAGAGAGAGAGAGAGACAGAGACAGAGAGACAGAGAGAGAGAGAGATTTTTTTGATTTTTTAACAGTACTTTATTTACAGTTGGTTTAAAAACAAACAAACAGTTATACACTCAATATATCAGTTGAGGAATGATGCAAATTCTAGTTCTCTCTCATTCACTCGGCACAGCAGCTCCTCATGAGCCCACTGCTGTTCAAACACATCAATGTTCTCTGTGATCCTGTGGAAACAAAACTCCAGCCTCAGTCTGGTCTTCACGTTGTGCCTCCACAGGATCACAGGGTCAAGGGTCGGCCCACCCTGCAGTTTGTCCCTACGAGTCAGGTAGATTGACATTTTTGCTTCACCAATTAAAAAATTTAGGAGTTGGCACTTTGCTTTTTCTGTTTTTTTAAAACCAACTCCACAAATAAAAACAGGGGCAGTAAACAGGACGCCAAATAGGCTAAAAACACGGGTTAAAACATTAAAAATCTCTGCCAGTCTCCTGCACTCAGTAAAAACATGGAAGATGCTTTCGGTCAGCCCGCAGAATGGGCACTCCTTTAAAACACTGTGATTAAGAACAAATAAAAAGGCATTAGTTGCAATGGCACCATGCAAGATCCTCCACTAGAGATCTCCGGTTCTCTTTTTCAGAGGAGGTTTGTACAAAGTTCTCCACTGTGGGCTCAGCCCACCCAGCCTCTCAGTCCACACACACTCTGCTCTGTCACACAGCTGTGTTCTGTGGATAGTTTTTACACAGCTTGTGTACAGAGTCCTTTTTTCAGCTTTTTGCAGGCTTAGTTTTTCCTCATCAGTGTGTTTCAGCAGGGGGCCGCTGAGCTCCGTGAACCCTGGGCACAGGTGGATCTCTGGGTACGGGTCTGTGGGGTCGGGCTCAGCTTCTCCCCTGCTGTGTTTGAGGAGAAGGACCTTCTCCCTCTCTGTCAGCCTCCTCCTCCAGAGCTCCAGACTCCTCCGCATCAGGCGGACACAGCGCACCCCCAGCACCGAGCCCAGAGCCTGGCTGTCTGTCAGCGCCGGTCCTGCTGCATCTACCAGCTGGCTCAGGCAGATGAGTTTTGAGCTGCACAGCGCCCCCATCAGCCCAGGCACGGTGCTGCAGGACACATCCAGCCTGGCACCACAGACTAGAGGCTCCTTCAACAACCAGTACAGAGAGTCACATTTCTCACTTCTTTTGCCTTTAAACAGCGCCCAGGATTTAAAAACATCCTGATAAAAAGGAGGCAACCCACCTAACTTTAGGAATTTAAAATCAGTTAAAAACAGAGTAGCATCCAGCCCCAGGTTATTGACACGCCTCAGTATGCAGCTGGCCACATCTCTCCACACCAGATCCTCAGGTCCAGTCAGATATCTCTGAATAAACTGGAGCCTGAAGGTGGCTGTTCTACTAGCCAGGTGGACCAGGCCCTGGCCCCCCTCATCCCTGGATAAAAACAACACAGACTGTGGAACCCAATGCAATTTATTCCAGAAGAAATTGACCATCTTTGCTTGAATTTGAGCAATGAGACCTGGTGGAGGGTCCAGACATTCTAACCGGTGCCATAGAAGAGAGGCCACCAGGTTATTTAAGATTAGGACCCTCCCTCTAAAAGACATTTGTGTGTGGAGCCACCTCCACTTAGCTAGTTTACTGTCTATTTTTTTTTTCTGTAAGAAAGAGAGAGAGAGAGAGACAGAGAGAGAGAGACAGAGAGAGAGACAGAGACAGAGAGAGAGAGAGAGAGACAGAGATGATGATGGAAAACAGGCTGGTCAGGTGGTCTGATGATCAGTGACATCACCTCGTCTCTTTCTCCCAAACTGTTGCTGTCATTGTTAACTGCTGTCCTGCTGGTGAAGAGCTGACGAGGCGCGAGCAGCACAACAAACACGACTGCTTCAAAAATATTTTGTCTCCTCTTTTTAGCAAAGCTTCTGTTTCAAACGACATTTTGGTCTCGTCTCCTTTCAAAAAAAATATTGCAAGTTAACAGAGTCACAGTTCGAATTTCATGACATCAGTAAATAACAGAAAAGCTTCCTGTTGTGCTGGAAATACACACCGCTCTATAAACTTAGGGAACCAAGTCTCTCACATGAGATCCTGATGAAGACTGAAGCGTAAAATCTTTACTGATGAACACTGTATAATTAGTTGAGAACAAAATGACGTAACAACAGTCAGTGGGAGCCGAAACCATCGACCAACTGAGGGCTGGATTCAAAATGAAAACATGTAAATCACAGGCTGATCTAGCATGTGTGACTTTATCACATCAGCTCATCATGTGACTCAGCAGTGTGTTCGGCCCCCGCCTGCCTGTATGACCTCCTGACAACAGCTGGGCTCCTGATGAGTCAGAGGATGGATCTCCTCCCAGACCTGGATCAGGGCATCAGTGAGCTCCTGGACTGTCTGTGGTGGACACACCGATACATAACGTCCCATAGGTGCTCAGCTGGATTTAGGTCAGGGGAACGAGAGGGCCAATCAATGACATCACTGCCTTCATCATCCAGGAACTGCCTACACACTCTGGACACATGAGGCCGGGTCCTGCACCAGGAGGAACCCAGGGCCCTCTGCACCAGGAGGAACCCAGGGCCCACTGCACCAGGAGGAACCCAGGGCCCCCTGCACCAGGAGGAACCCAGGGCCCACTGCACCAGGAGGAACCCAGGGCCCTCTGCACCAGGAGGAACCCAGGGCCCACTGCACCAGGAGGAACCCAGGGCCCTCTGCACCAGGAGGAACCCAGGGCCCTCTGCACCAGGAGGAACCCAGGGCCCTCTGCACCAGGAGGAACCCAGGGCCCTCTGCACCAGAAGGAACCCAGGGCCCTCTGCACCAGCGTAAGGTCTGACAGTCGCTCTCAGGATTTCATCCTGGTACCTAACAGCAGTCAGGGTACTGTTGGCTATGACATGGAGGTCTGTGTGACCCTCCAAGGATCTGCCTCCCCAGACCATCACTGACCCACCACCTAACCAGTCATGCTAGATGATGTCACAGGCAGCATAACGTTCACCACAGCGTCTCCAGACTCTTTCACGCCTGTCACATGTGCTCAGTGAGAACGGGGCACCAATGGTGGACCTGCCAGTCCTGGTGTTCTCTGGTGAATGATGGAGCTGCACGGTGCTGGACTGTGAGCACAGGTCCCACTAGAGGACGTGGGGCCCTCATGCCACCCTCATGGAGTCTGTTTCTGACAGTGTGGTCAGAAACATGCACACCAGTAGCCTGCTGGAGGTCATGTTGTAGGGCTCTGGCAGTGCTCCTCCTGTTCCTCCTCACACAAAGGAGCAGATAGCGGTCCTGCTGCTGGGTTGATGCCCTTCTACGTAGGGATGGGTCACGATTTTCAAATTTTCGAACAGTCGTTTTATTTTGAAAACTCGATGTTTTAATGCGACTATTACTATTCGAAGTCTTATTTCCCCCTTTATTTGACATGCAATTCAGCTCCTAACCGCACGAGGGCAGTATAGGATTGCTACAGCGGTGTGAGATGGGCTACCAGCTAGTTTGATGCTCTTCTACAAACAGGAGAAACATGCAGAGACTACTACAGTCATCAAAAAGTTCGGTGCTGAACAACTTCAACAAAATAAACGAAAATGAGGTGCAGTGCAAACTCTGTGAGGCAAAGCTTGCGTATCACAAGTCTTCAACAAGTATGCACAGTCATTTGAGAGCGAGGCACGCAGGAGGTGGCGAGGGACCGTACGGCCGGGCTCAGCGGCGCAACACGTCTGCAGCGCGAGTCCCGTAGCAGCTCGCCCCCGTTAATCAATTACAGCGGCTCCACCGGCAACGGGAGCAGCGCGACAACCCCCGTCTGTCGTGCGACAACTCTCTATTTTATGCGGCTCTTCTATTTTTGTCGCGCTACGCTCCCCTACGCGACCCCCCAGCAGATTAAAACTACATGAAATAGTGTGCTAAACGAGCACAATGTGTTGAGTGAATGAATAAACCATTATCAGAGGTGATATGTGATGATTTTTTTTTCATGCATTTACCCATGTTTATCCGTGACATTGTGTAAATGTCCGTGACGGACATTTGAAAGCGAGTAGATGACAAACAGTACAGTAAACTTGTAGATAACTCAAATATATGTAATAACTTAGGTGGAAAATGCTTTAACATTTCATGCAGCCTCTCGGCTCAGCAAACAGTAAACAACCCCGCTGGCTTCTCTACATGTCGCTTCTGTACGCAGTCAGTGGAGCCCAAATGAATACGCCATGACACTACGCTGACGTGACGCTTTGCAGCCGGTGGAGCCCGGCCGTAATGATGAATGGATCTCTGTGTGCGTGGCTCCGGGAGAGGAAGGGGGACGAATAGTTGCCATGATTTTTGAATAGTGTTTTTGCTTGTGCTGCCCATCCCTACTTCTACGGCCCTGTCCAGCTCTCCTGGTGTAACGGCCGGTCTCCTGGTGCCTGGTATCAACCTGATTGGGCTGCAGGTAGCGCCTCATGCTACCAGTAGTGTCAAGGACACTAGCAGAAGACCAAACTAGAGAAGAATCAGTCAGGAAGGATAAGTAGAGAGCAACTGTCTGTGGACACCACATGTAAAACCATTTCCTGTTTGTCTCTTTGATTTGACCCAAAGCAGCTGAAACTGATTCACAATCACTTGATTTATATCCCTGAAGTTTAACTGCCTTCCTGTTATACTGTGACCATGAAGTGTTCCCTTCAGTTTTTTAAGCAGTGTATATCAGACAGTAATGCTTCCTGTTGTGCAGTGTCCTCATCATCGTCTCATCAACCTGAACAATGACGGGTTTTGCAGTATTTTAGAACCAAGAGACAAAACATAAATAACTCAGACTGGTGATCAGGTCATAAACCTGGTATTGTGACTCACCTGCAGCCAGACGAGCCTCGGTCAGCCAGCTGTCTTCAAACTGGGCGCAGTGCAGCAGGTGGTGTCCCTGCAAGAAGCCATTGAGGGAGCAGAAGATGGCGGCGAAGAGGACGATGTTCAGTGGGATGGGGCGTCCTCTGGTCAGGAGGGCATAGATAAAGCTCCTGCAGAAAAGTCACACATAGTCCTATTTGTTTTTTACAATTCTCATGTTTTTGTTGTGCTTTTGTACACCCTGAACACCCCGAGCACCCCGAACACCCTGAACACCCCGAACACCCCGAACACCCCAAGCACCCCGAACACCCTGAACACCCCGAACACCCCGAGCACCCCGAACACCCCGAACACCCCGAGCACCCTGAACACCCCGAGCACCCCGAACACCCCGAGCACCCTGAACACCCCGAACACCCTAACACCCTGAACACCCCGAGCACCCCGAGCACCCCGAACACCCCGAGCACCCTGAACACCCCGAGCACCCCAAACACCCTGAACACCCCGAGCACCCTGAACACCCCGAGCACCCTGAACACCCTGAACACCCTGAACACCCCGAGCACCCCAAACACCCTGAACACCCCGAGCACCCTAACACTCTGAACACCCCGAGCACCCTGAACACCCCGAGCACCCTGAACACCCTGAGCACCCCGAGCACCCTGAACACCCCGAGCACCCTGAACACCCCGAGCACCCTGAACACCCCGAAGAGAGATGGAAGAGTCCATCTCAAAAACAAAAGGGCTGCTGACAACAGACAGAAAACAAAGTATGGTGGCAGGTGCAGAATCAATCAATCAATCAATCAATTCAATTTTATTTATAAGCCCAATATCACAAATCACAATTTGCCTCACAGGGCTTTATAGCATACGACATCCCTCTGTCCTTATGACCCTCACAGCTGATCAGGAAAAACTCCCTAAAAAACCCTTTAATGGGGGAAAAAAACGGTAACCTATCAACTCCTTAAACAAGTTCCAACTGAGGCAAGATTTCACATTTTAAAAGGACATCAACATAAGCAGCGATGAAGCAACAATCTTTCCCTGAAAGACAACTTGCTGACGTGCTGACGTATTGCGGTAAGTGAGTTGTGTCATTTCCGGTGTTTCTGTGACAGCGTCTCTGTACTGCTCTGGTGAATTCTGCTAGCCTGCTTTCTCACTTCAGTTGCTTTAACGTCTGCTTCAAGTCTTAACCCACAGTGGTTCTGTTTAAGCACTTATAGCTCTCCTCCTTTCTACGACTTTCTTGCTAATCTCTTAGCTGTTGTTTGCACGTTACTAGCCTTGGTAGCTACATTAGCTTTACAGTTAGCGATGGCTTCTCCTTCTGCTCTTTCTTGCCCGGTGTGCCAAATGTTCAGTTATGCCTCTGCCTCCTTTAGCAACAGTGGTAAATGTAATAAGTGTAGCTTATTTGCTGCGTTGGAGGCGAGGCTTAGTGAATTAGAAGCGCGGCTCCGCACCATGGAAAACCATTCAGTAGCTGCGGTAGTTAGCCAGCCCCCTGTAGCCAGTGCGGAGCCACATAGCATAGCCTTAGCCTCTGCTAACTGTCCTCCAGTAACCCCCGTGCAGCCGGGAGGCTGGGTAACTGTCCATGAGAGGCGCAGCTCCAAGCCGAAGCCCACGGCTCACCACCAGCCTGTTCACGTTTCCAACTGCTTTTCCCCACTCAGCGACACACCCGCTGAGGATAAAACTCTGGTTATTGGCAGCTCTATTCTGAGAAACGTGAAGTTAAAAACACCAGCGGCCATAGTCAAATGTATCCCTGGGGCCAGAGCGGGCGACACTGAATCAAATTTAAAATTGCTGGCTAAAGCTAAACGTAGATTCAGTAAGATTGTTATTCACATCGGCGGCAATGACACCCGGTTACGCCAATCGGAGGTCACTAAAATTAATATTGCCTCGGTGTGTGAATATGCAAAAATGATGTCGGACTCCGTAGTTTTCTCTGGACCCCTCCCAAATCTGACCAGTGATGACATGTTTAGCCGCATGTCATCATTTAACCGCTGGCTGTCCAGGTGGTGTCCAGCAAACGATGTGGGTTTTGTTAATAATTGGCAAACTTTCTGGGGAAAACCTGGTCTTATTAGGAGAGACGGCATTCACCCCACTTTGGATGGAGCTGCTCTCATTTCTAGGAACCTGGCAAATTTTATTAGTAATTTAAATCCCTGACAACCCAGAGTTGAGACCAGGACAGAGAGTTGCAGTCCTAAACGCCTCTCTGAGCTTCTAGTTCAGTTACCCAGCCAT